ATTTATTTATTTATTTATTTTTTTACTCATTATTTTTGGCACTTAGCAAAAGTTTTTCTTATTTAGTGTAGCTGAACTAAAACAATTGTCAGAGAGAGAAATAGAATATATGTTTTTATATAGTGAATGTTTAAGTATAAGTCCCAGAGGTCAGGAATTGGATAAAAGCCATCCTGACATGAGATAAATTCTGCACAGTTTTTGATCTGTAAAAAACATTTTCTTCAGAAAAGGTCAGGATCACTGCTTGCTTAATCTTGGCAGTGACAATGCCACTGCCTTTTATTTTTAGTAGCATTCAGAAAAAGACATTCAAAGCGAATGAGATGCACTGTCTGTGATCCATGCATTTTAGAGAAAGGTAACAGTCATTTACCAACATTTGACAGCTACTTTAGCAAGATGTTACATTCAAAGACAAAAATAACTGTATTAATTTAAGCACATTTGTCAGTCTAGCTTTGAAAATTCAAAGTTTTTCCAAAGCTCTTTAGCCTCGAGGTCCCTATTGCACAACCAGACAGCTGCTGTAGCTATGTTTGATTTGATGCACACAGTGAAGCAGACTCTGAGTGAGAGCATGAATTGTTCTATTCTTCAATTATATAGTTATAAAGACAATTACCCACATTTTTGTGCTATGTTTACATTTAGTTATCAAAACTGGTGCAAACAACAAAACTACGTTGAAAGCATACTTACAAAATGCACTGCTTTCATCCTTTGTACTACCCAAGGTGCCATCAGGCTGCATCTGCAGGTAGAATCCATGTTGACTGTACAGACGAGTTACAATACCTTTCAGTTGAGGCTCTGCAAAGGAACAAAAGAAAGCAACACATCAGGCAGATGCTGCAGCCATATGTTGACAGAAAATAAACATTTACAAAGTAATTAAAACTGCAATAAATAAAACTGGTAATGGCTTGAATGTCTGCTTGATTAAAAGATTGTTATAGTTGGATTTTACATTGTGAAGTAACAATCACAGCTTTTTAGATTATTTGGTAGACTATCAGCTTCATATACAACAGGTTTGTACTGCTGATTGTAGTGAATCCAAAGAAATACACTCACAATGCAAAATGCAGTGGATCTATATTCAGATCTCAGGATATGCTGTTCCTAAGGTAAAAACCAAAAATGATTTGGCCTAAGAATGTTTGACAACACCTTGTGCATGAAGTTCCTACCAGCTCTTTCAAATTCAGGAACAAGCTGAAGTATCCAGCAAGCAATTATAGAAACATAGTTAAGCAATCTCGCTCTCTTATTTAGATCGGGATCATTCAAGACAGGTAAGTTGAGATATGACCCTTGGGATCGAAGATCATCATCTAAATGTATTTTCTAAAGCAGATACTCCAAAAATTTACCTCTCCTCCTGTTACACACACCTTTCCGAAGTAAGGATCTGTAGTTACTCATATGGAGTTTGGTATTAAACTCAAATATCTATTGTACATTCGAACATGCACTTTTATAAAAGAAACCTTTGTCCTGAACAGAGAAATATTGACCATGGTCCAGTTGGACACATGGTCTTGAGCACCAGGGGTGCTCAAGTCCAGTCCTCAAGAGCTACTATCCCGCAACATTTTTAAGGCACCTCATTTTTAACACACCTGAATCAAATCAGTGGCTCTGCTGGGCCAAATGAGAAATCAGGTGTATTAGAGAAGAGATGCATCTAAAAGTTACAGAATGGTAGCTCTTGAGGACTGGACTTGAGTGCCCCTGCTGTAAGCGATTTATTAAAGGGTTATGATAATAATATGGTGGAGCCTAAGTTTTTTTTTTTAAAGCACTCTTTAAGTAGCAATGCTTTCAGGCAGATACACATATAATATATCCCACGATCGAGGTAGCAGTGTCTGTATGTATGTGTGTGTGGGGGGGGACTATGTGTATACAAGTGTGCTTCTTGGTTTCGAGCTAAGCGTAGGTTGGTAAAAAGAGACTGTACTGGGTAAAACCTGTCGTCCTGAGTTCTTGTGGCCCTTGGAAGGAGGCGGCTTCATTAGGCATTGGAATTGAAGCTGGTAATGTGAAAAGTGTATGTCTTTACCATCAAAAAAGTATTGCATAAGCTTTATTTGGATGAAAAACAGATGAGAAGAAGATGTTGTAGGAGAAGATTGCTTAAGTTAATGCATAAGTTTATATATACAGTATGGTATGCTGTTTTGATATTTATTAAAAGCACTCTTGTCTTTGTTGTTCCATTTGTAGAACACTAAAATAGGATTATTCCTGGTCAAAATCGCATTCCTAGTCATAAATATATTAATAGATTTCCTAATATCAAACAAATGGACACACAGACAGACAGACACAGACAGATGGACATATGTGGACTAACTACAAAAAAACAAAATTTTGACTATAAAAGTTTTCTGTTTTTGTTGTCAATATCTGAGATTTAGCTAGTTGTTATCATATCTATTCTAAATCAGTCATGCAGCTAAAACGTCGCCCTAGCCATATGCAGGTTCATTAAAATAAACGTTTTAGGCTTAGACATTTACTTATAGATTGTCAGCACTGGAATTAAATAGAGAACCAGTTGTGTCCTCTTATTACCACCATCCACAGGACAAAAAGGGTAGTGCAGTTTCTCTTTGGCTGAATGTCCTGGCTAATTGGAAAGACTGCTGATGTATTACCTGGAAAAAACAAATCCTATGATTTAAATTCTGGGGTTTTCAAATGAAAATGGTCTTTTCATTGAATTCTCCATGAATTCTATCATATTTCAGATGATGCTTGGGTAAAATATAAAACCATATCTAAAAAGGCATGAATTAATAAAAATAAAACACTTCACGCAGGGACTTGTGTGTTTAATGTAGCTTGCGTAATAAACTGAGCAGATCAGTGGAGATAAACAACATCATCATCTGCAAGCTATGAAGAATCCTGTAGGATTTCTGACAAATCTCAGCCATTTATTTAGTCTTGTAACCAAAATGATAAGTCATTGCAACTTCAGCTTTGACAAGGAAATGAAAACAATGAGAGGCTGTTTAGCTTAGATTGTAAGCTTAGATTGTTGTTACATTGTTAATTGCAGTGAGTCATCCAGGAGTTTACCTTCAATTAGACTCCTCCATGCCCTCACACACACACTCCCAGGAGAAATACCTACAGGGCGCAGCTCAATCTACCAGTCTTCTTTGGACTAGCGCAGGGGGGCTAAGAGTGGCAGGGGAGGAAATGATGAGATCTGTAGCACTATTTCTCAGAGGAACTGTGCCATGGTTGAAACATCAGTGAAAGTGTGACCTACTCTCATTGTTGTGAACACCTACAGCTCCCCTCATTCTCTTTCTTTTAAAAGTGCATGTCAAATAAATGTCAGTAATCTCTCACTTCCCTGGTCATGTTGTTTTTCTTCAACCCATATCATTTGAATTATGTTCCTTGTCGTCTCACCTAATAACACAATACATCATCCAATTAGAGCACAGCAGCCGTTCATTACTTGTCCCCACAGAGTCAAGAAAAAGAGATAAGAAATTGAGGCAGAAAGAGGAATGGTAGGTTCGGGGTGGAGAGAGGGGAGCAGAAGGGGCAGATAAAGAGTTCTTACTGTCATTAAGAGTGGTTGCTTCAGGTACTCAGATATAATAGATTAAACATTGGAAATTAAATCGACTGCTAATCAAGCCTTCCGTGCATAACTTTAAGGGTAAAACAAGTGTTTCTCCAGACAGGATAGCTCCTCTATCTTTGCATGAGAGACAATATGGGGGACAGTAAAAAAATCCCAGGAATGTTCTAGCAAGGGTTCTCAGTCTATAAAATAAAAACAATTATTCAAAACAACAAATAACTGGATTTAGATTGATTAGTGTAGTGTAAGACGCCTTCGACATACTAGCAACCTGTTCAGGATGTACCCCCCTGGAAAGGCACCAGCCCCACCACAACCCTGATGGATAAGAAGATTTCAGAGGGATGCCTGGGGGCTTTCCTACGGGACCTGTTGCCACTGTTACCTAATTTGAGATAAGCAAAAGACAATGAATGGTTGGTTGGTTGGTTGGT